ATGTGGACGCGGGTTTCCGACACGACACAGGCGAGGCTACGTACGGCATGTTAATAATAGCGCCAGATGGCTCTTTTGTGGCAGCAAGAAATGGCAAATTACCGATTTGCTTTTCACCACTTATGGCGGAGGTCCAGGCATACAAGGAAGCACTGTCCTGGTTACTTGAACGGAACAACACATCAGTAAGATTACTCACAGATTGCATGGAATTGACTACGATTGTCCGGCACCATCACACGCAGATCCATTCCTACGTTGGGGTCACAATTGACCAATGCAGAACGCTTATGTCTTTCTTTAGTCGTATTACTTTGGATTACATCTCTAGACAGGTTAATTTACATGCGCATACTTTAGCTTCGTTAGCATTTACACAGGATCAAGCTATGTACTAGGATGCTATCTCACCTGACGCTATTTCGGCTTTGATTCATTAATACAATCGCAAGATTGACCTTCAAAAAAAAATTCATTAATTGATTATATTCGCTACATTGTCCCTACAATGTCTTTATTAAAAAAAATTATTCATTATCAATAAATTAATTAAGATAAATAATTTTATTAGTTATATTGTCTTTATTTTTCTCCAATGTAAGAATTCTTTACATCAAATTCATCATTTGATTATATTCACTACATTGTCTATTATCTTTTTTGTGCACTATCTTTTTAATTGAATATCAAAGTTATAATACAAAATAATGCTATGTATTTATTTACCAAGTATTTTATTAATACCATGAATTTTTTTTTAAATATATAATTAATAAAGCCAATCGTATTAACTACTTGAGGGATTTGTTTGACAAAGAGAGTATTCAAATCACACAACAAATTGAAGTGAGAACCATCTCGCAATGTCTTTGTTTGACAATCAACAATTAGTGGTTAGCGTTAGCGAATTTGACCATCGAATTATATCAACGGTTGGTAAAAAGATATTTAATAAAAAAAATAATAAAAATAATAATAATACTAATAATAATAATTGTTTTAAAAAAATTAAAAAATATAATTAAGTCAATCATATTAACTACTTGGGCGGGGATTTATTGACAAAAAGAGTATTCAAATTACACAATAAATTGAGGTGGGAAACTACCTCGTAATGTCCTTGTTTGGAAATCAGCAGTTACTTCTTCAATATTAGTATATATTTAATATTTTATGCCCTAATTTTTATTTGCTCTCCCTTATGTCCCGTATTTGGTTTCAACCATACAATACAATTATTTTATTGACAATTATAATCAATCTTGACTATATTATCTTGCATTTGTAAACTTAGAATTACTTATTTAAATACGCAAATTCAACATTCAATTATCTATGCATGAACAATTCTAATATAATATTGCCTTGATATATTTTGAAGTATTTATTAAAAAAAAACATTGGGCATTTTCCCAATCACACAATGCGCGTAAAAAACTAGTTAAAAGATCTCAATAATATTATCTGTTTGCCTAGAAAATCCTTTACATTAAAAAAATTTCTCACTTTAATTTCTTATTTTATATATTTGAAAACAATTTACCCACGCAATGTTTGCACTTCTATGACTCTTTATTATATCGAAAAAGTGTTAAATAAGTTTTTGAACTTTTACACATTGTGCAATTGAATTATCGAACAAAAAGTGTGCAATTGAACCATTAAAAACTCTAAAATTATTTAAATAACATTTTTACAGGTTACTTTCAAGTTTCTCTTAAATATGATGTCATAATGTCAAATTATATATAAACTATTATTTTAGTTATTATTTTTAAAATTTAAAAGAAAAAAACAATTTTTTTTTAAATTTCAGAAGAAGGTGGAGCCGTGGAGGCCCCCACACAAAAACATTTCTGAGTCCGCCCTGGTGACGAGAGAAACCTGTAATCACTACTCGAAAGTGTGCACTAAGTAAAAACTGTCTCGTGATTTTAACCGACAAATGATCACAAGGAGATAAACCAAACTAGGTTACTCATAGTTGATTATTAGCACAAATTAAGAAGGCCAATAAATTGTTTCTGTTGAGAGTTGAACTTATAAACTTGTGATTACCAAGACCAATAGATCACTCTTTTAATTATTTATTTATTTATTTATTTTTATTTGGTTGATGTAACACTAAACCAATTTTTTTAAAAAATATATTTAATCATTAAGTCAACTTTTAAAAGTTACAATGAAATCAATCCATTACCAACTAATAAACATAAACAAATTCCTATTAGTGAAGTTAGATATGTTTTCATAAAATTAGTTGGGTTAAGCCAAATTCAAACAAAAGTCATCATGTAGGTGGACAAGGGACGTGTGAGCCGCAAATTATATCATCGACCAGCGTATTGTAACACTAGTTTAAAATAACGTGACTTTTTATTTTTATTTTTTCTATTTGATTAACATCCATATTTGTAGTAGATACATAATCAATTCGTTAACTATAAATACACAAACATACATTTATAAGTATAAAATCTTTTAACTATTAATTATAATATTGTTCTAAATTCATAATATATATGTGAATGATAGGTAAAGAAACTTAAAGTAAACATAATTTGTATAGTTTTAAAAGATATTTTGTTGATTTTATAAATTTGTACTTAACATATTATATATGTATGTGTAGTTAATAGCAGTATTGTAAAAATCTCACCTAGGCACTAATTAATCAGCATCGGCCGGCCACCTAGCGTATCAACATAATCGTTGGTCTAGGTGGCCGGCCAGGTAGGCGTCCGGTGTCCGACTAGGCCGATCAGTCGACAAATTAACTATTGTTCCCTCTATTTTTTATTTAAAAAAAATAGATTACTTCATTCAAAACGACATCGTTTTGATCGAAATAATGTTAAATTGTTCAAACTCTAGATGTTTGTTAGGTTAATATTTAAAATTTTAGTATTAACTATTAAAGTATAAAATAGTTTTAAATTATCAAGTCTTAAAAAACTTAAAAAATTTTAAACATATTTAAAAAAAAAAAAAAAAAAAAATACACAAGCGTCTAGGCCCCGATTAATCGCCTCATAGGGTGGGCGCCCCAAGAGTACCTTGCGATTTTTTCAACCATGGTTAATAGATTATGTACGTGTTCTAACATTGTTATAAGTTTATAAAATATTGTGAATTGTAGATAAGTAAATTTAAAGCTAAAGGCTCATAAATTGAGTGTTTGACATGTAGTTATGATTATTGTATATTTTTACGAGATATTTGGTTGAAAATTAATTTTTTTTATTATAAACGTAATATAAAGTATTAATTTTATAAACATATACTCCATATTTAATAAATTATGTTCTTTCAATTAACATATTATTTACCTGCAGTTAATAAATTATGTACTTACAATATAAACGTTGTTTCTGATTATATAAAAAAAGACGTCATTAAAGACATCATTTATATAAATTCCGAAACACCGATCGTTTTAAATTATGGTTATTAACTTGTTGCGTGTGATATTAGAAACCAAATTTTCTTTCCTTGCCAACCGTTTTAGCCAATGATATCGACTTCAACAAGGCAACAAGCCAACATGCTCGTTAATGATGAGTCCAATCTAGAGTATTCATGCATTCATATAAATATTGCCACTTTCAATTGTATATGTAACAGTACCTTTCCAATCTACTCCTACTAATTAATAAAAATTAATATCAATTTGAACTGTCCGTTTTGACCAGGACTATGTGGTCTAATGGTACCCGGGTTGGACTTCTAATTGGAAGATTTTGAGTTCGAGCCTCAGTGGAGGCGTTATTGGCTCTTTGTGTTTCAGTAGGTTGAGAAAGTATATGAACAGATACTACAATGTAATAGAGCTAGTAGCATTCAAAAAAAAAAAAAAAAAAAAAAAAAAACTGTCCTTATCAAATTCCTCTAAACATTCAAAGCTCAAATCACACTCCCCTAATTATTAGTCATAGTATCATCGAGAATATTCATACATAAATTATTATTATTATTATTATTATTATTATTATATCAACTTAATATATTATAGATACTATGCCATTTTCTTAAGCGACCAGCAAAGATAAACTATAGTCATAACCTGAAAAAGTGCATTAAGTATAATATCCACAAACCACTATATGTTGTGATGGTTAAATAATCGTTGTTGTGCACATCGACATTTGATTCTATATGTTGTGTCACCTTGATTCACATTTTTTAAATGCTCAGTCAGACCGAGATGTGGGTCAGTTGGGGATTTAACCTTTTAGGCCACCATTAAATAATTGTTCAGTAGCTAGGTCAGTATATGGTATACCACTCCGTTCCAATCGTTATACTGTGGACCAGGATACCATGGACCATGGTACTAAATGACATAGTTTTGAATTTTAATTTTGACTGCACCCGTTTGCTGTTCAATTCATGTTACATGTTTTTTTTTTTTTTTTACTGTAAAGCAATATGCATATGTGTCTTGTGTTTTGCGTGCATTTATGTGTCTCATGTTATGCAATTATGTATCTTAAGCATATGGATTCTGTACCTAAAATAGATGTAATTGTGTAACACACAACATATTGTGTCTTATTTTACGAATTTATGTCTTGTATTATGAAATTATGTATCTATATATAGGATATATATTATCTACATAAATTAGATTTGAGAATAAGTAAATATATAATATATTATCTACATATTGTGTGTCTTATTTTACGAATTTATGTCTTGTGTTGTGAATTTTTGTATCTCGTCTTATGAAATTCTGTACCAGAGTATTGATTCTGTACTTAAAATAAATTAAAATTTGTGTTGAAATATGAAAAATAGAAAACTACAAAATCTGTTAAAGCTTAAATATAAAAAACGACATAGTTTTGATCTAGTGTCCACATGAACCACAATGCTGGTCCCCGGTATAAATTGCCGCTCCATCCCGCTGGAGAATTCACGTATAATAATGAAATGATCTGAGTCAATATAATAGCTACATTCACGTACTCCGCCATTAAATTGGACTTGGAACTGCCATTTCTAGCCAAGCTAGCTAGACCATATTGTTAAGGTATTATTACATGCGGCGTGGCCGGCGCTCGATCTTCAGTTCTCTTCTGACTTACATTATTACTAACGCTGTAACGCATTAATCATCATCATCTATCAGATATGGGAAGAACACCTTGCTGTGAGAAGGTAGGTCTGAAGAGGGGGAGATGGACGGCCGAGGAAGATCAGATCCTCGCCGACTACATTCACGCCAATGGCGAAGGCTCCTGGAGATCGTTGCCGAAGAATGCCGGTATATATGTATATTATGCATAATTATTGCTTGTTTGTTATGTTTTTAGCTAATGATATGATGATGAACACGAACTGTTTGTGTAATTGATTGTATGAATTGAAGGTTTATTGAGATGCGGAAAGAGTTGTCGGCTACGATGGATCAATTATCTGAGATCCGATTTGAAGAGAGGCAAGTTCTCTCCCCAAGAGGAGGAGATCATCATCAAATCGCATGCAATTCTGGGGAACAGGTTAGTCCCATAGCTTAATTAGCTTCTCCATTATATTCACGATGCCTAAACTTGACAAATCATCTCTAATGATTTAAAAATATTTCTTGTTTATTTTCTCAGATCACTTAATATTTATTAAATCCAAATCATCGTCAAATATTATTTTTATAAATTAAATAAATAAATAAAAGAAAAAGACCAAAATTTAAACACAACTTCTAACGTGCACTCAGCGAGTGCCTGAAAGGATCCATGCTTTCACTTTCCTCCTTTCTTCTTTTATTTTTAAGCCACACCCTAATCCCACGGAGTATTTGGGAGGATGAAAGGCTGAAAGGATCCATGCTTTCACTTTCCTCCTTTCTTTTATTTTTCATTTGTTTATTTTTAAGCCACATCCAGACCCGACAGAGTATTTGGGAGGATGTAAATAACTGTGACTCAATGGCTTAGCAGACAGACAAATATAAGTGCGCATAAGGGATCTGTCTAGTTTAGACATAATTCCTACACTGCCGTTGTCAAAGTTCAAACCTTGGTCTCTTCTCCCAAATACTACCTATGGTACATATGAACTTATGAAAGAGAGAGCTAAGGTGGAGCAGAATATTCCTTGATGGATGATCTGAGATTCTGAGTACTCTAAATTTCTATTTAAGTACATGTACGTAAAAAAAGTTTTTTTTTTTCTTTTTTTGAAAAATAAAAACTTTGATTTGATTTTTTTAATTTCAACATATTATGACATTAAAAATATTTAAAATATTAATTTTTTTAATTTAATGCATTCGTACGTTGGAATTATATATTGGTGAGACTTATTTTTCCAATTTATTAGAAGAGTAGACATCTCTAAATGTGATAGTATTAAAATATGTGTATCTCGAATGTACATAAAAGCTTTCATACGCTTAACTAATGTGCACTTAAAAAAGTAATAGTAATTTATAGGGCCTTTTTTGATTACATAATTAGCTTATTAGTTAATTTTGATCTATTTGATCCTATTAGCTGTTTGACTTGGTTAAATATTCAATATATAGTGTTTGATTAATTAACTTTTTGTAATAACTTATTGTTTCAAAATACTAAAATTCAAAAGCTGCTTAAAGCATATTTTTCGATAAGCTTTTTGAGGAAGTCATTTTGCATGTAATTAGCTAACAAGCTAATTTACTAAATATCTTTCTACAATCAACTAATGCTATCAACTAGTCAAATCCACTAACCCAATCAGCTAACAGTTAACCGCTAACAACTAACAACTATTTACCAAACACCCTATAGTATATCTTGAATATACATTAAAAAAAAGTTCCATGCCATGTCCTTTTTGTCTAATGTTGAAAGTTTTGAAAATTTTTGGAAGTGATATAATGCTACTTTATTATTTTATATACTCCACAATTCTAAATAGCGTAAAGTTAGTTTTTATATTTCTAAATAGAGCCATCAATAATTTTTCTCTCTAATACTCTCTTCTAACATGACATATTTTCATTGGATGATTTAGCTATTTGATAAAAAATTAGTAGGGTCAACCAATTTATGACATTCACTAGTTATAAATCATGTTATGCAAAGATTTAAGAGGCAAAATTTTTTGAAGGGAACAAAACATTTTCCTTTAAAATAACTATCTACTCTTAAATTAAGTAGCATAAATGATTTTAATTTAATAAACAAACATACACAAAAAAAGTCAGTGGTATTCGGTAATTAGCTAATAGTTGATAATTAATTGGTTTACTTGATAGATGATATATGAATTTTATTAATTATTTTGACGAGTTGATAATATTAACTAATTATAGAAATATGTTTGGTAAATTAACTATTTATTCTTAGTTAATTACGTGTAAAATAATTTATAAAGACATAAACATATTGTACTATTGTCACACTTATTTTAATATTTAATCAAGTCAAATAATTAAATTTTATCAAACAAGTCAAATTTTGATTATCAACCATTATCCAAACACCACCGAACAGTCAAAATCAAGAGTTAAATAACTTTTCATGAACAAAAGAGTAAAATTATACACTTTTCATCAATATCTTTATTTGTCTACCTAAAGTGTGAGTGGGGTCGAAGAAATATCAAATATGTGCTAAGAAACGGAAACATCAAATAATTGTACTCCGTACAAAAACTCATGAACTATTTCCAAAACTAAATATATTCATTTTGGCCTTTTGTGAATTGTGAGCCAAAGGGTCATCTTACTAAATTTAAAGAAAATGGTATATGAATTTTTAGAGAGTGAAATTCCAGTCACATATTATTATTGAAAAATAAGGAAAAAAAAAAAGAGAGAATAATAAAAAATATGTGACCTACTTTTTTTTTTTAGTAGGATGGATGAGGGTCTACCACGCAAGAAAGAGTACAAATTAAGAGCACATATATTATTATTTTAATTTTAATTAGAAAATTGCACATTGTCAAATATAAAAAAATGTTGAGGGCTATGAATAAAAAAAGTGTTGTGCCCTCTTTAAGTTTGAGTCATATTTGTGTGAGACTGTCTTATAAATCTTTATCTATGAGACAGGTTGGGTCGGACAATATAAAAATGTAATATTTATACTGAAAAATGTAATACTAATTATAATAAAGTGTTTTTTACTTATAAGAGAAAATGTAATACTTTTGAGGACAAATATAATACTTTTGAGGACAAATGTAGTACTTTTACATTTTAATGTTAACAAGTATTTGTTACTTATACAGTTATACAAGCAAATGTAATACTTTTAAATCAAAATGTAAAATGATTACATTTTTTCTTCAAAAACATTGCATTTTTTCATATAAGTAATAAACATTTTATTTCTGATATAGTATTACATTTTCCAGTATAAATATTACATTTTCCAGTATAAGTATTACATTTTATCTCGACCCGACCTGTCACACAGACAAGAATTCGTGAGACAGTCTCATGCAAACTTTTCCCTTTAAATTTAGAAAGGAGCATGAATTAAGTTGATTATGGCCCCGTTTGGTAAAATAGTTAGTCTATCAGCCGATTTTGGCTTATTTGATCACTATTAGTTGTTTGACTTGGTTAAACAATCAATATTAGTGTTTGATTAATTAGTTTTTTGTAACAATTTTTTGTTTCAAAATGCTAAAATTCAAAAGGCTAAAGTGTCATCCCGCACCCTGAACCATTCCTGATTATTCATGCCGCACCATGATCTTTAATAAGTGATATTTAAAGTCATAAACTATAATTTTTTTTCCGTCTAGAACTTTTTACAGGTTTCCTACTGGTTACCGGTAATAATATTGATGACATGAAATTTTTTATTAATTCTTTTTGGTACTTTTCTTCTTTCGCCTTCGTATTATAATTTTTTTCATATTTTTCTTTTTTCCTAAATGTATAGTCCTGCTCTGCGTTTTTCGCTTCTCGTTTCTCCGATACCAAACTCCGTAGAGTAGGTCTATACAGAGCAGGCCTGATCGAAAAAAGGAGAAGCGAAAAACGCAGAGCAGGCCTATATATTTAGGAAAAAAGAAAAATACGAAACAAATTATAATAAAAAATTCTATGTCAGCAATATTATTACCGATAACCTGTAGGAAACCTGTAAAAAGTTCTAGACGAAAAAAAATTATGGTTTATGGCTCTAAATATCACTTATTAAAGTTCATGGTGCGGCATGAATAATCAAGAATGGTTCATGGTTCAGAATGACACTTTAGCCAATTCAAAAAGATACTCAAAGTAGCTTTTTCGATTAGTTTTTTGAGAAAGTCATTTGTATGTAATCAGCTAACAACTAACAACTAATTTACCAAACACTTTTCTATAATCAGCTAATATTATCAACTAGTTAAACCCACTAACCAAATGATTTACCAAACACCCCCTATATGTCTATATCTACAACTACCCGGTCCATTTTTGTAATTTTAAAGTACACTCTTGAAGCCTAGGGCCGTGTGCAAACAGGAAAATGCTATGTGTACTCTCAATTTGTACTTTCACACACAAAACCTTAATATAGACACTTGTATTAGAACACATATGAAAAAATAGCTTATCAGAACCTTGCCACATCATAAAATAACATTAGAAAGTACATGCAGTAGAACTCTTTTTTTTTTTTTTTTAAACTCACATTCGCTCTGGTGTGTGGTGGTACTCTACATGAATTGACTTTTAAAAAAGATATTCAAAAAATTAATAAAATGTAAATTGAATACACAAATTTAAACTTAATTTCTATAATAAGTATAATCCAAACACTGTAATGAATAATATGTATAAACCCAAATTTACAGCGAGTACAAATTTTAAACTCACGTTCCACTAATCATTTAGGGGTATTTGGTTGGATGGAAAATATTTTTAATTTCATGAAAAATATATTTTTTTTAAAAGTAGAGAAAAATATTTTGTTTTAAGTTGTTTGGTTGGATGGAAAATATTTTTCATTGAAAGAGCAATTCCTTAAAGTTGAGGAAAACAAATTCTTAACAAAATGGTAGTATTTTGTTTTCCACATAACATAGGAAGTAAAGATAACATGGTTGTACAATTATACCCTCATAAAAGTTTTAATTACATAGGTGGTATTTGTGCTTAATTTATTGTCATTAATTTTAATTCCATACACCTATACCACAAAGAATATGCTCATTTTAAATATAATCCTTACACTACTGTCGTCAAGGTTTGAACCTTATTTCTAACCATTGAACTAAGACTAAGCGGGCACCAGTATACTCTCATCTCCTAAGAGATAGGGTGTTCAAAACCCTATTGTTATGACCCAAAAAAAAAAAAGGTTTGTCAATCAGTGTAACCACCGAAATTTGCATATGCAGATGGTCTCTGATTGCAGCACAGCTGCCAGGTAGAACAGACAATGAGATAAAAAACTACTGGAACTCGCACTTAAGCAGAAAATTCTATAGCATTATTAGGAGAGCAGGAAGTGATAAGAATATAGAAAATTTGGAGACGGAGTTGGCCAAGGTGGCAGAGCAGACTAAACGGAGACCTGGAAAAGTAAGCCGATCAGCCATGAAAAAGAACAAGACCACCGACTATAAGCACTCCTCCAATAACATTAACCATGCTCCTGGATTACAGACACAAAAGCAGGATACTACTATCCCTGCTAGTCTCTATACTGATGATCCAGTTAATAACAATAATGCTGCATCTTCGCCGCCAATATTGATGGAGAAAGAGGATACTATTGATACCTCGAGCTTCCTGGGATCAGAGCATTTTAGCTTGGACGACATAATGCCAATATTGATGGAAGAGATGCAGGATCCAGCTGGGACAATTTTGAGCACTTCTTCGTTAAACAGTGCGAAAGAGATTGAGCGTGATTTGGCAAAAAGCGGTGATAGCGGCGTTGATATTTACAGCGGGTTGATACCCAGTAGTGATCATAATCAATTTGGTGGGGAGAACAGCGAAAGCACCGCCACATCATCGTCATTTCCGGTTGAACATTATTGTAGCTTGGCCCAAAATATTATTGATTGGGATAATGACTGGCAGTACTGCTGGGACTACGACAGCGGAAACAACCTCTGCAACACCCATAATTATCTAATGCCGCAACAGAATGACGATGATGTGATGTTGTCATCGCCGTGGCCCTGGGACGACACTTTTTATGACATTGTGGTTGATAATAACAATAATAATATTGCTGGCGAAGAGGGTAGGGTAGGGTAACGGTAATGTGCCCGCACGGGCAGTGGGCAGTATTTGGGAGAAGAGATCAAGATTTGAATTTCGGCAGCGGCAGTGTGGAAATTATGTCCAAAGTAGGCAGATTCCTTGTACGCATCGGCATTTAGCCTTGTTCGCTGAGTCACCGTGATTTACTTCCTCCCAAATACTCTGTTGGACCGGGGTGTGGGGGCCTTTAGGGTTGGGATTTGGGAGAAGGGTAACCGTAATGTAAAGTTTGTAAAATCTATAATATAATGTTGTTTGTGCTTTTTACTCTCTAGATTGTTCTTTAGGTTAGGGATGCAGGGAGTAGTCAAATATCTTACTGGTCTGATAATATTAAGTTTAGCATTATAGTTGACCAGATACTGCTTGTAAGTTTGTATAAAAAAGAGTCTAAAACTTAATGTATTTGTAAGTTTGTATAAAAAAAAGTATAAAATTTAATGTATTTATAATTGTAATTTCATGACCTTTTAGATAGGATTTTTTACAAGGTAGTAATCTGTTCATGATCATTCATTTAGAATGATAACTGGATGTCATCATTACATGGTAGTTGACAGGGGATAAATAAATAAATAAATATATATATATATATATATATATATATATAGAAAAATGAAAATTGGATGTGGATCGAAAAACAATGAGGGCCAAGAATTGAAACTTCACCACAAAATCGTCCCTAATCTTTCTCCGAACCTCTTGTTCTACAATTGGCACCATTGTGTATCACAACACACTATTATACCCTTTGAATCTATATAAAGAAGTTGAACGCAAACCAATCTTGAAAGTTTCCCTTTCCCCACAAACTAACATTCTTTAATAATAATAACAAATATACTTATATATACATACAGGGCACAAATAGGTTATTAGTTGTAGATTAGAATTTAGAATCCAGTTCCGGTGCGGCGGCGGCTCAGTATGACGGCGGAAGACTTGAAGACATTTTCAGGAACCACCGCCACCGCCACCAAAAACCTAGACGTTAACGTCGCCGATTGCTTACCGCCGGTGAGCGCAGATGAATCTGAGAAGAGGAAAAAGAAGAGGCGCAGCAGCGGCTCTTTCGGCTTCCTAAAAGCCGCGTCGTCGATTTTCCGGACGAAGAAGAAGCAGCAGAAGAGCAATGAGAAACAGCAGAAGAAAGTTTCCGATCAGGACGAGGACGGCGCGGATCGCAAGGCGAAGAAGCAGGGGGAGAATAGCTGGAAGAACATCGTGGGGTGTATGCGGCCGTTAACATTGCAGGGGAAATCTCCGGCGATTTCTCCGTCGCCGACGGCTCCGGATCTACAGGCTCTGGTCCCACAAGGCGGCCTGGAATCTCCGGCTCCTTCATATGTCTCCTCCGGCGGCACCATGAGCCGATACGCTTCCGCATCCGATCTCCAGGAACTTGATGCCTGCGACAACGAAGATGACCCCGACGAGGTTTTTGACGCCATCACCGGCGACGAGATGATCGACACCAAGGCTGAGGAATTCATTAATCAATTCTACCAACAAATGAAGCTTCAAACTGAACCCAATCAGTATTGATCGCCAAACGACGACGCCATATTGCCCATATACGCCCGCTTGCATGCAGGCAGGACCTAATACTATCATTTCTCCTTATTTTTCTTAAACTTAATTCTCAAAATATCCTCTGACTGGCCTTTTCTCAAATTAATTTCTCAACTTTTGATTGCACCCAAAATGTATGATCATCTGACTATTTTTAAGGTTAATCAGAATACTACTTTGGATGCAATTAAAAGTTAAAGAATCAATTTGAAAAAAGCTATAATTGGAGGATCATTTTGAGAATTTTCTCTTTATAGTTCAAACATGATTTTATACTCATCTTGATTAAAAGGGGTTGATCTTGTACTTATTTTCATTTTCTAAATAAATAATATTTTTACTTTAATTGTTAGCTAAAAAATTATTTTTAAAAAAAATAACTTAGAATAATTATTTTGATTATTAGCCTTAACATTAACTTTCGGATTAACTCTTTATTATTCAGGAATGCTTGACATTATGTATTTGGATTTTGATTTTCTATTATCATAAATAGGCATACATATAATGACAAAACTACAAAACTATTGTGAAAAATTACAACATAACAAAAAAAAAGACAACAGTAATATTACAAAAAGACAATATTGGATTATAGGGACAAAACCAAAAATGTCAATTAGTGGAGGTGATTTTTTTAAAAAAAAAAAAGATAAAAAAAAATATTTATAATAAAATATGAAATGGTTGGAACAAATAGTATATCATCGCTATTAATATTATATTCATAAATATATTAATATAAATATATTAATTTAAATACAATAATTTTTAGATTATATTAACTAGATAGTTCATAAAAATTGAATTTCTTTTAAAATATTTTTCATAATTGAATTACAAAACATATTTGATATCAATTAATTAATCAATTTGAATAATGTTAGTTTGAACAACTATATATGAATACTTGGCTAATAATCAAAATTCTTATTCTAAGTTATTTGTTAAAAAAAAATTCTACGTAAAGTGAAAAGATTGTTTATTTAGAAAATGAAAATAAATAAAAGATCAATCCCTTTTAATCAAAATGAGTACAAAATCATGTTTGAACTATAAGGAGATAATTCTCAAAATGGTCCCCATACTATGGCCTTTTCTCAAATGGTCATTTGACTTTTAATTGCACCCAAAATAGTCCTCTGACTATAGTGAAAACTCTGAACACCAACTTAACATCAAAATTAACGAAAGATCATTTTAACTTAAAATTTAATAATCAGAGGACCACTTTAGGAGCAATTAAAAACTAATTTTAAAAAATGCCATAGTCAAAGAACCATTTTGAGAATTAACTCTTTTTCTTAAAATTCTTGTAAAAACCTCTAGTGTATCCTCTCTTTATTTATATATACACACACGTTTATATATATATATATATATATATATATATATATATATATATATATATATATATATATATATATATATATATATATATATATATATGAATATATTATACAGAGTATATGCCTGTAAGCACTGGCTGCACTGCACATCAAAATTGTTAAAATTGTAACTTGTAAGCACCCAAAGTAATACAACATATTTTATATCTATTTTGACATTTTTGTTTGTTTTCTCATTGGTTTCTCTGCATTCAAATATCAATATATATCATTATGACAATTTATTATATGAAGAATAAATTATTTGTTACCGAAGATTTAATACATAATGTAATATTATTTTAATTAAATAATAATAATAATATATTTAGAGGTTAAATAATTACTTTTGAAAATAAAGAGTGTAATGATAATAATGAGAAATTGATTAATGGTTACTCATGAAAGGTTATTTACGAGGGAAAATGTGATATTTTGGTGAAAAGTCTAATAATGTAGTATTAGAGGTTGAAAAGTTATTTATGTAAAAAATTGTAATCCTAATAAAGAAAAGTGCAATACTTATGAAAACTCAACTCTGTCATCCGCCAGAGTTATTATCATAGTCATTTTCTTCATTGTTGTCACCATCACATATCGATCTCTACCCTTGTTATTATACGTTGGACCATGGTCCACATAGTTGTGTGGGCCATGGTCCAAAAACACCGTCATTTCTTTAAGTACTACGGTCGTTATGCTATGTGTTTATAATAAAATGAAACTACAGTGTATCAAAAATGAAATTGATTTTACAGTGTATCTAAAATGAAACTGAATATCATGTCTCACATATTGAGTGTATATTGTCAAATGAAATTATAATTGAATTAGAATTATACTTTAGTTGTGTTGTAATGAAACTATTGTGTATTTAAAATGAAAATGAATAACATGTGTCATATATTAAGTGTATATTATCAAATGAAATTGTAGTTGAATTAAAATTATACTTTAGTTGTGTTATAATGAAACTACAATATGTATAAAATGAAATGGTGTTGGTGAATCAATTGTTATACCATGGACCATTGTTTACCTTACATTGTGGAGTCTAGTCCAAAAATTATGTGTCTGCAGCTAATATATTATGTGCATTCAGTTAATAAAATATAGGAATAAGGGTCAAATAGGCCACTCAACTACGCACTCAATTGCAATTAGGCCATCAAACTAAAAAAGAATGCAATTGGGTCCCTGAACTACGCAAACTCATGTAATTCAATACAAAATTGACCTGTTTACCTAGAAAGACGATTATCGAATTTAAAAATAATTTTTTAATAATTTTAAATAAAAAAAGCTATAATTAAAATTTATTAAAAAAAAAAAAGCCTACGTCGTCTTCGCCGGAGACGAACGGAGATAGAGGGATCTTCGTCTCAGGCCGTTTTCATGGTCGGGGAGACGCCCCAAGACGAAGCCGCCACTTCGTCTCCGCCGGAAACGAAGTGGCAGGCAATTCTCAGGCCGTTTCCCCGACCATGGAGACAACCTGAGACGAAGGTGGCTTCGTCTCAGGCCATCTCCATGGCCGGGGAGACGGCCCAAGACAAAGCCACCCCTTCATCTCCGCCGGGGACGAAGGGTTTTTTTTTTTTTAAATTTAAATGTTAATTTTTATTTAAAATTATTAAAAAAAATATTTTTGTAAACAAGTCAATTTGGATTGAATTGCATGATTTTGCGTCATTTAGGAACCCAATTGCATTCTTTTTTTAGTTCGATGGCCCAATTGCAATCTGGGTGCGCATTTGAGTGGTCTATTTGACCCTTAATCCTAAAATATATGACTATAAATAAATTGAATGCAAAAAATATTATGTGTCTATATTAACATATTATTATGTGCCTCCAATTTATTTATAGGCACATAATTTGTTAACTGCATGTGCATAATATATTTACTAAAGACAAACATATGCTACCTTGTAATAGAGGGCAAATTATATCGTGCACCGCGGTGCATAATCGATTATGCACCGCGCATCAAAACGACGTCGTTTTGTTTAATGAAAAGAAACGGCATCAGTTTCGCATCGTTCCGCACCCTTCCGCAAAAAGTAACACTGTTATTCAATTTCATTTTGTATACACTGCAGTTTCAGTTCAAGACAACTACAGTTTTATTTCAATATAACTACAGTTTCATTCGATATTTATAGGCTCAAATATGTGACAATGTTATTTAATTTTATTTTATATACACTATTGTGTTATTAAAACACAACTACATGATCATTTTGATAAAATTACAGCTTCATTGTACAATATACACTCAAATATGTGAAATGTTATTCAATTTCATTTTATATACACTGCAGTTTCATTTCACCACAACTACAGTATCATTTTGATATAACTGCTGTTTCATTTGATAATATAAAAATAATACATGAGGCAGTGTCGGTTTAGATACACTGTAGTGTCAGTTGGTAATTAACATACAAAAAAATGTGTATTCTGTTAACATTAATGGCGCACCGTTTCTTTACCCGTTTTGACCGCGGTGCATGATATAACGACCCGTAATAGAGTCAATAATACTCAAAAGATTAAACTGAAATTGGGCCATTGAAATTGATTGATCCATTAATTAAACAACTAGATGGGCTTAGATTGGGCCAGTGAAGTTAATTGAACTAATTTATTTGTCTAATTAGGTTAATTAGATTAGATAAATTCATTTAAACCAATATATGCATGCTGGGATGATGTATTGGAGTGTTCTCAATTATGCATGATTTTTCGGCTAAGTTGAAGTGCTAAACATATAGAGGATTATCAGGTTAGAATTTGCACGACTGATATTGTTTCAATCAAGATTATATTTGATATAAGGTTTATTCTGGTTACAAATTTGAGACATTTAAGTTCAAATACATGATAATATCATAAATCTAAACATAATCCTATCTTTAAGAGGTTGGAAAAAGTCAAATTTGAATTCCTGGAGTTTGGCTCCAAAATGTAGAACTCAGAGTAAAACAACAAATTATATCGTGAATCAAAGTCCATTTTGTATGGTGGACCATGATCCAAAACGATTTCATTTTATACTTAGTGTCAATTATTGCTTCATATTTAATAACATTATCAAGTACTATGTTCATAATATTTATTTCATATATCCATAAACCTAAATTTTAATATCCATTAACACTAAACTAAATGTACATCGTATGCATTTTCATTCACTCTATAGTAAATTTATAATGTTACTTCTATATGTTCATAAAAGTAAAACTTAATATACATAAACATTATACTACAAATGCAACATTGTTTTTTTTTTTTTTGAAAAACATGCATCATTGTTAATGGCAAATTATAATGGCTAGTTTCAATACAATTAGTCTTGTCATATTAGGTGGTCAGCGAACCTGGTTGCCCACGTTTTAATTTATTGATAGTAATAATATTTCGATAGTAATAATATTTCGTTAGTGTTTGGCCTTAAAAAAAGTTATAATTTCACTATAAATTTTGCATGGATTATCTAAATGATTTTATTTATATAAATATATCTTTATAACATTAATTTTATTTGTTTAAAATCAAAGTATTGCATAGATTGAACTCTAG